GGGGGGGGGGGGATCTGCAGCCCTGTGCCTAAACTTTACAAAAGCTTTTGGAAACAGAGAGGAGATGGGTTGTTTGTGAGAAAGAGACTTTTGCGGTGAGATGGGCATTATTAACTTGGTGCCATTTCTTGGAAGGGAATAAAGTGCCTTTCGAAGTATAGATTGATCATTATTATTATTCAAAATAATCTTGAATTAACTAGAGAAGACACAGTTGGATCTATCACATACACACCAACACTCCACTCACTTTACAGAAAGGGAAGGACAAACACAAACCTGTGGGACTTTGTAGGTGCCTGCTAATGTTGACATCTGGATGGAGATGTCTCTGTCAGCTCCATCAACAAGAGCCAAAAGCTTGTCCTTCCTTCCACAGCTGTAGTTGGGAACACTGGCTTCTCCAGTAGAGAGCATGTCCATCAAGCCATCTGAAGTGCCAATGGTGTTATCATAGTTGTCATGGATGTTGTAGCCAAGTGTGAAATTATGCAGGAGCTGGGGATTCTCATTCACCAGTTCAATATTGCAAATCATGCGTAGTAACTGTGCATCGTCCAAACTAGTGGAAAACCATGATCATGTTAACAACAACAAAAATACTTTTCTCCATTTAATCATCTTTTTTCTCTACAAACTAGCTGAAGCATAAGCCAATATTGATCCAGAACTAGAGGGAAATGAAAGTCACCCATCACCCTTTAATATTGTTAGTGTTGAGGATGGGGATAGTCCTCAAAAAGGTTTAACAAATCAGAAACATACAATTGTTTTTAGCAGTACTAATATTCATACCGCAGAATAATTCAGTCATTAAAGAAGAACCACCAATAAAGGAAGGAGATTTTTGATAAGTGACCCAGAGAAGCTATTCAAAAACAAGTCATCTTCTGTTCCTTGAAAAATCAGACATTGCATATCAATCAGTTATAAAAATAGGGAAGTGGTCGGGCAGAGGAAATAAGAACCATTTCAATCATCACTTTAAACCAAAATCAGTATTCCAGTCATAAATTTAAGATTGAACAGAGAGAGGAAAATAATGTGGATTTCTTTCAGGTTTCATTTGCCTCATGTTTCTACTCTCAGAAAATAAGGCAAAAGGGAGAGGCTATGTTAATCAAAAGGATTCAAAAGAGTTGTCAGATCCTGCAATATAAGAGTAAATAAAACAAGAAGAAAAAAAGAAGAGTGTTAGAACTGCAAATGGAGGGAATGAAACTCCATCACATGACTTACAACCGAATCTGACTAGAAGGAGCCATGTTGAAAGGTAATGTTGCAGGTGCTATTTTTGATGCAGAGATTACTATACCAATGAGAAGATCTCCTGGCCTATAATAGCTCCATGGCTTTTCTCCATTCTGGTTGTCTAAATTAAGTGGGCACTTCATTCTCAGCTTCCCAGAGAGTGGCTGGGACACCAGCAGCATCAGAAGCAGAAGCAGAAAGTGCTCGCTTCGGCAGCACATATACTAAAATTGGAACGATACAGAGAAGATTAGCATGGCCCCTGCGCAAGGATGACACGCAAATTCGTGAAGCGTTCCATATTTTTCGGGACATGGAGTTTGCAATTCGGATTCGTGGATTAGCTGAGGACCCAAAGGAGAACTTAAGACAAGTAATTGCAGATGCACTTGGGGATGCCTTATCGTGTGGTCAGGAAATTTATCTTGAAATAGAGCGTGTGTTTAGGGTAAACTCTTGGATTGCAAAGCAAAGGAATCTACCTAGAGACATTGTGATATATTTTACAAGAAAGTCTAGACGTAAGGAAATAATGCAGCTCTTTTACCAACAGAGATTTAAAATTCTGAATCAAGACATTATTCTTTTAAAAGAAATTCCAGCAAAAATACTTAGAGCGCGCAGAGATTATGCTTTTTTGACACAGGAATTGAAGCTTAGACAAATAAATTTTAGATGGGATATACCGGTGGGCATAATTGTAACAATATCTGGCAAACGCTACAGACTTAATTCGATTAGCAAGGCTAAAGATTTTATGGCGTCTGTTCTACAATCAGAACGCCCACCTACACCTCAGAGGGCCGATGTGGTTGAGCAGATGATTGTGGATT